GAAAATGAAAAAAATGTGAAATGGATTGAAGAACAACAGAAAACAATAGAATAAACAAACAAGAAATTGCGACTAGATCGGAGAAATGATTCCGGGCGGTAGTGTCAGTTTAGCGATTTCTTGCTAGAATGTATCGGTTCAATCTAGCGAAAAACATTTATATACTAATGGCAACTTTTGTAGAACTAGAATACATCAGGGTTTTAGATCTGAGAATTAAGTAAATTTTGAACAAAAGTATAGCATTGAAAGAGCAAGAGATGCAACAGTAATATCACAAACAGCATATACCCCTTGACATGTCATTCACCTCTTTTATAACTCGAATTCCACTCCTGTCATGTCACTTGAAATGACGACCACGTGTAGGATCTGACTCACCTCAACTTTATGGACTCCGAGGGCACCTCAATTCTGGAGTGAGGTGCCCTAAATTGTCTGTGGATTTACAATCTCCACATTCAATCTCATTCAAATCATAAAAGATCTATCTATGAAGGTAAAGTGATAGTTCAGAGGAATGATATATTATATATACATAATATATATATATATAAATATATATATATATATATATATATATATATATATGTGTGTGTGTGTGTGTGTGTGTGTGTGGTGTGTGTGTGTGTGTGTGTGTGTGTGTGGTGTGTGTGGTGTGTGTGTGTGTGTGTGTGTGTGTGCATATATAGATAGATATACATATAGAAAGGCAATGATTTTATTTTAAAATGTGTTCTGTTCAATGATTTATCTTTATATTAGGCCCTGAAAGTTGGTTATTATGATTTTTACATAGTTACACAGTCGATATGACTTCTTGATGTTGTTATTTAATGGACTTTGATAAAAGCGATATGCTATGTGCTTTAGCTTAAACATCACCTTTATTCTTACGATGGATATGTTTGTATAATATTTTTGTGTATAACACCCAAACTCGGATATCTTTAATGTGAAGATTGAGCCGAAAGCGAACGGATTAGTGAGGTGTGTTCATTTGATAATACCCATAAAGATCATAGTAACAAACAGCATTTAAGAATATACAATGTCCATCTATGAGAAAAAGTATATATCTAGCGACTTTAGCGCTGGGTGTAGCAGGAACCGCGACCGCTCGATGGCAACACTGACGCCGCCATTGTGAGGAGGAGACGCCACGTTACAACTCACCAAGCGTCGTTTCTTGTCTAATTTGAGTGGCTTCCTGACCGACTAATACAACGAATATACGCTCGGTGCTTGCAGAAGGTAATGGAGCTCAATGCATTGCGTCAGGTTCGGCTCTAGATCCCCTGAGAGAGAGACAAAGAGAAGGAAAAGAAGCGAGGATTGTTATCCCAAAAGTTGTGGGTGCGTCGCCCGGCATCAATAAGCCAATGCGATTTATTTCTCTTTGTGTCTCCGTCTTGGCGAGGTTTACCCACCGTCTTCCACGTTCCTCGTTTCTTTAGAGTAATTCCACGCCTTAAACTCTCTCTCTACATTTCCCAAACATCGTTGTTCTTTCCTATTGTCATTGTTGTTGAATGGTTACCCCAAACACCTCGTCTCTAGCTCACTTTATTTCGTCATAGGTTGTTTGTGGTGGAAGTTTCTCGTTGGCAATCTGTCATGCCGATACTGTGGCGAAGTTTGGTGTATTTACAGGTTCCTTTTCTTTGTTTTTAGCAATTGAACTTGTCATGTTTTAGTACGAGTGAATCTAACACGTAATTTGTGCTGTACGCTGTATCTTATCAGTAGTGACTAATGTATCGGCACCAACTGTTGATAGCAGTGTTTAATATCGAAAATAAATTAATTGAGATGCTGAGATGATGTTTTATCTAACTGTAGGAAATGGGTGTTTTAATGGTGTTTTAATGGTCAGGTGTTTTTTGTTGGGGAATGTGACTCACTGAATAATATCAGAATGTTTATTGTTTAATGTATTAGAAGGAATGTGATGTTTCACTTGTTCTTGTTGTAGCCTATGGAAAATCATGGTTTTGGGTGGGGGTGAGAGTACCATTGTTTGAAATATTTGACTTCAGCGCTCACCTGAACTTGTTTTTGTTACAATTTACTCACCTACATGACCTGTGTACATAGATTGCAGTTATGTCTGTACCACATAGCACTACGGCATTGAAAGTTGTCAAACATCCTCCACACATTCTCGAAGGTTAGGACCTAGTTTGGTTCCTTGAATTGATTATAAACCACCTGGGTATGTCATCAATACTTAACTTGTACTGCAGCCAATACAGCAATTACACATCTTTCTGATGCAAGAACAGGCTATGAACCGCTTCAATAAGCAAACTGTAACAGGAACCCAACATCAAAATTTACGGGAATTAACATGTTCCAAACATCTTAAAAAATGTATTGACCAATAAACCAGCCTAATCTAACGATTTAAGTTGCCGTGACTAGGCGTGCCCGAGCAGACCTAGGGGAGGGTTGATGCAGGGGCTCTGTCCCCCAACACCCTCCTGGGAAACATTCTCTTCACCTTGGTATAAACGGCATTCATACTGTGAAATGATATAACCAATACCTTTTTGTCTGGAAATGTCAAACTTTCATTCGCTTTATTCTACTGTCTGGATTGCTATGATTTTTTTTTTTTTTTTTTTTTGGGGGGGGGGGGTATTAAATAACCCAGAATCAATGCAACACTGGATATGCAACATTTCTCACTGGTCACTTGTGGAGTGGCTGGCTTTGAACTGTCAAACCTCGCAGCCAGCGACTGAAAGTCTGAAACGTACAATGCTCATATCACTAAATAAGCATATAGATAAATTTAAAACACATAAAAGTATCATAACATTAAAAAAAAGGCTTTAAAAGTATAAAATGTGTGTAGTAGAAAAAAAAAGGAAAAAAAAAAAAAAGATATAAGTGGATTATTACCTTTACATAAACTAAGACACTTTTCATTTATGGCATAAGGTGTGAAAACCGAAAATAAAGGAGATACATGACAGAGACGAGAGAATATCGACCCATCTTTTTCTAAAAGTTGTTTGCCTTGTTTACATCAGGAATGTTTACAATACTATGACCTCTTAACTCATTCCTGCGATCTGTCAACTAGTTCGTGTATTACTGCGTGCTTGTAAAGACGATTTTGTTAATTTCAATGTCTGATTTTCGTAATCCATGTATTTTAGGCATTCCTTTGTTTTTGATAAATTTTTTTTTGTGTGTTTTGATAGTTTTAACGCTCTTTACAAAAACCTAAAGTGAATTTACTTTCCAAAACGACTTTCAAGACCTCGTGATTGTCATTCTTTCACAAAGCAATGGTTAGGAATGTTTTGTTTTCAGTATTTTCAATTCCGGGTGCTCTGTAAAACAAATAGTGCTATGCAGAAGAAATAGACCTTAGTAACTATAGCAGCTTGATGTGTGAGCTCGTAAAGTGCCCCAAATTGCCGGAAATAGTGATTAGAAACCAAGCCATCCAGAAGTGAAGGAAAGTTCGGTGTCTTGAGATAGAAAGGTGTTTGGTTTATTCTTTAAAGTATGTATGCGAAGGCATAGTTTGTGGGGTTTGTGGGGATGGAGCCCCTGGGCTGGGAAAGATTTTGGTTCATATGGCGATATTTGTGAATTCCCTGAAGTGCCTCAAAAATTGTTGGCTGCCTTAAAAGGGACTTTGTCTTAAAGGGGTACAGTTATCATCATGAAACTGTTAACAGTACTTTCACTTATTTCCAGCACAGGTCACTGGCAATGGAAAACTATAAGGTTCATGTATATTCAATTAGATTTTAAAGGAATTCATTATAGTATGGACTCACTCGTCAGAGACTAACAAATCCCCACCTCCACGTCACAAAATTTACTTTACAAGCTGAGTTGCCGTGATTGGGCGTGCCTGTCAAAGCGGAGTGTTGATAGGGGGCTGTTCCCGCGAAACACACCCTGGCCAAGCATTTTTTCACCTTGGTATGCACAGTAAGAGTTGAAACTAGGGAGTGCCAAATGGTCTTCGGCTCTGAAAGGAGCTTTGCAAAATCTTTTCCCTTTGTAGCTTTGCTGTTCATGTCTTCGGATTATAGCTTGTATCAACAACTACAATTTTTGGTCATCTATAAGAAAATCATTGTCAATTTGCCCTACCTTAGTATGCCCATATCAAGTTTAACCAATTTAATGAAAAAATACATGGTGAATGATATAGCATAATGAATAATTTGAGATGAGAATATAAAACTACATAATTAGTACCAAGTAATTTACACAGCTAGTTCATATGGAAATGCAATTTCTGCGAAACACATGTAGAGTAGTGGGACAATATTTTTTTAATACAGTACATCGAGGATAAGAGCATCCCAGAAGAATGCTGTGGTACTCTATCAGTTACTGATTGTATATTTTTTAGTCTTATTGGCTGCGATATAATAAATACTTACCAATATCCATTTGAGGGATTTCTCATTATGCATCATGAATATGGATCAGAGTAATACAACAACAAATAACTGTACACGATAGGAATACATTATGAAAGAGTATTATGTGTACTGGAGTCCTAACATACATTGGTTTGCCTAAGCATAAAGTATATACTCATTCTTTCAATAATACCGGTTAATCGTTACGTTGTGGATGTACTAAGCCACCAGTCAGCCCTCCCAAAGGGCAGAGGCAGTCATGGCAATTTAAAGAATTACAGTAATACCAAGAAGAGGTAATACCTACATTTTTTATTAAAGTTTGATACAAGAGAGAAAAGCGAGTGTCATGTTCTGAAACATTGTGTACTTATTTCTTACTGTACATAAGTTTGGAGGGGTGGCTGTGAGTTTGTGGCAGATGCAATGGGAATGAGGTTGTTATTCACATGTAGAAATTAGAGGGAT